AAAAGTTAACGAGCCAGTTTGTTTTCCAGGCAGCAATAGTACTTTTCGTGACAATGCTAGATGGAAAAAGACTAGCAATAGATGTAAAACCTGAAATCACAGTAGAAGACTTTAAAGCCAATATATATGAAAAAGAAGGCATCCCAATTAATCAACAGAGACTCTACTACGAGGGAAAATTACTTATGAATGAAAACACACTCGCTTCCTACAACCTAGTCTCCGGAACTGTGTTACGATTTAAGTTATTTTCAAGGGGTGGAGGCTCACCTATGTTTTTCCTCAGTGTGATAATGCCATCATGTAAGGTGATACAAACGGTTGTTGATGGAACAACAACCATTGGTGAAGTGATGAAAACCGTGCAGAGCGTTGATCGATCAGTGAGGACCAGCAACCATCGCCTAATGATGGCTGGTATGGCGATGGACAACAACAAGACACTTGGCGATTATGGCATCATATCCGAGTCAGTCTTAAGGGTGGATAGGGTAGAAAGTACGTGCTCCTTTCTGTAAGAAGTTGTAATATGCATAAATGGATACAGTACAAAAATGCAAATGTATGAATTATGAATAAATAAAAAGAGAGATTCTATATACACAGTATATAGGCCTACACACCTACAAAGATACATACATACATGTATGTAATATATATATTTATATATATGTATGAATATATATATAACATATATAAATATATATATATATATATATGTATATATATATACCTTTGATTTATATATTGAATACATATATACATACATATATATAAGAGCACTGGACTCCAACCCTTGTGGTCCCGAGTTCAATGTGTGTATATATACACACACACACACACACACACACACAGACACACACACACATACTCACACACACACATCTATATATATATATATATATATATATATATATATATATATATATATATATATATATATGCGTGTGTGTGTGTGTGTACACACACATGTATATATAAATATATATGTATAAATGCATATATATACACATACATACATACGTATATATATGTGTGTGTGTGTAAACACACACGTGTATATAAATATATATATATGTATAAATGCATATATATACACATACATACATACATACGTACATATATATATATATATATATATATATATATATATATATATATACATACACATACACACACACACAAACACATATGTGTGTGTGAATTTGTGTGTTTGTGTATGTGCGCACACGCACACACACACACACATAAGTGTATATATGTATATATATATGTATATATATATACATATATATATATATATACATACATATATATATATATATATATATATATATATATATATATATATATGTATATATGTATATATGGACTTATATTGCATACTGTATAAACATAAATGTGTGCGAGCATATATATATATATATATATATATATATATATATATATATATATATATATATATATATATATACATATATAATATATATATATATGTGTGTGTGTGTGTAACATATGTATATATATATACACATAGACATACACACACTCTGTATATATGTATGCCTGTGACGTACACACACATCCTGGCTGTGGTGACGAGGGTTCGCGAAGAGCTAGTGAGGTAGGTGAACCGGATTGGCGAGTGTTGCAGACATGGTGCGGGTAGGCACGATCAGAAAAGGACAGTAGCGACGGCTGGTCCTTAATGGAGGCGAGGAGACACTTCGACAGGAGTAGCTTGTCGGTAGATAGCGTAGATCGGCAACAGGCATCGGCGAGGAGCTTGGTGGTAGGTGAATTAGCGTCGTCGTTGTGAGGTTTTTGATCATCGCTGCCATCAGATGTAAGCGAGGCGAGAGATGGGCAAATCAATGAAAGGGGTCTTAGCTTGCTGGTTTATTGCTGAAGATAGATATGAGACCCCCCAAGAGACCCCCGTGTCCCAGGGTCGAGGACGAGGTGGTGGAGCTGGACCCTGTGTGGCTTGGCCTGTCTGCCGTGTCTTCCCCTGTCTTGCGAACGTGTCCTTTTATGCGGCTGTTCCCTTTGAGTGCGGATGTTTACTCCCGTGCGAAAAGAGGAAGCCGGGTGGCATCTGTGTCTGCCCAAGGAGAAGGGCAGTTGCTTCGACGGAGGTGTGAAGTATACCATCCGGTCTTGCTACGTATTGTTGACAGATGCACCGGAAGGGTGTGACGGTAACATCAATGTTGGAGGAAGAATAATTTCAAATCTGTGATTCGCTGATGACATCGACCTGCTGGTGGGATCCAAAAGAAAATTAGCAAACCTGACAAAATTCAACAGCTAGAAAATATGGGATGGAGATAAGTCGACAGAAAAGTTGCGGTTACATCAAGGAAACATGACACCAACGAGGACCAAGAGGATATGCAAATTGCACACTGGAGGAAGTCAAATCTTTCCACTACCTCGGAAGCACTGTCACAGACGATGTTACATCAGAGACAGACTTCTACTACTGTGAAACTGGTAAGGTTATTGCTCACTTCCTTTGCACTATGTGGATGCGAATCATGGACTTTAAACATGAACATATAGAAGATAATAGTGGTTTTTGAAGTGCGATGCTTTCGAGACTCACCAATGAAACAATAACACAGCGAATTGGAGACCTCATTGGAAAATACGAACGCCTGATTGAATCTGTTAGAAGAAAATTGCAATGGTTTGGACATGTCATCAAGCGGCCAGAAAGTCCAGGTGGATTCCGAAACTGTTGTCTCACTTTCAATAAATCTAGTTTTCATTGTGGGTTTTTCTACCATATATGTGTAAGTAAATATCTACATTTATATACATAAACACACACACAAGGCGGTTGGATTGTTGAAGTCGACTTCCTCCCGGCAGCTCCTGCAGCCAGACCGGTGCCAAACGTCGTGCCAAACGACCCACCCTCAGGTTCAAAGACGTCTGCAAACGCGACATGAAAGCCTGCAACATCAAGCCTGAAGTCTGGGAGCTAGCTGCCGATGACCGCGACCATTGGCGACAAGCAGTGCATAGAGGGAGCAGACTGGCCGACAAAGCACGCTTCCAATAGGCAGCAGAAAAAAGGTCCCGCCGCAAGGAGAGGGCAGCCTCCGCTTCGCCTGTGCTGTCCGGCTTCATCTGCACGAACTGCAACAGAGACTATCACTCCAGAATTGGGTTACACAGCCACAGCAGGCGCTGTTCACAACTCTAGGAGAACCTTACCACCAGGCGCATCAGCATTGTCCTCCGGGATTGCACTGCCAACGGGTATATACATATATATATATATATATATATATATATATATATATATATATATATATATATATATATATAAAGTACAACTTTGTTCCGGCTTTGTCCCGGATCTGTATAAAGCTGCAGAATCTTTGTAAAATAGGAGTGCAGGGATTTAGGCCGCGTTTACACCAAGCGAATCGAATCGATTCAATTCATGGATAATCATTTGACTCAAGTCATTTTGAACCGACTGAATCTGATTAACACATCATTCAGTACCAAGGCAGCCTTCGAGGAGTATGGACGTCCTTGCTGTTACAGAAATAGCATTGTTGCTGTGGCTGAGAAAGCGTAGACGGAGGCGGAGGCAACGAATATGGGCGCATCCAATAAATTCTAGAAGACCTGAATTTGGGAGCTTTGGTCATTTGTTCCCAGATTTGGTCAATAATCCGGAGAAGTTTTATGACTTCTCTAGGATGACCACAGAGCAATTTAAGATGAGTTGATGGGGCCCTCCATCAAGAAGCAGAATAACAATTACCGTGTTGCAATTCGGCCTGAAGAAAGACTGGCCATTTCCCTAAGGTAAGTGTATTATTTAAAATAATTCCACTAATAGATTGGTCGACTTTATAAGGTAGCTGTAAGTGATATAAAAATATAGACATGCTTTATTTCTGGTTATGGATACAATATTGCTACAGAAATGGATGCAAAGGTAGGTTTAACAGTTTATATTTACCTATTAGGCTTCTATTACAGTAAAAATTACGTGTATTGCACTGATCTATAGAGGGAATTGCTGTAATAGGCAATATTATTCTGCATATTAAAAAAAAAAAAAGATAACAGAAAGCATTATGGATATGGTTATATATATTTTTTGGCAACTGTAAAGTGTATTGTCTAATCTTTAAATGTGTGACATAACTGTTATGTCCTCCAACTTAAAAGATACCTTTCACAACTCAGAAGAAGCACTATCACTAGCATACGGTCATGGTGTATTATGAGATGGGTGTTGGTGTTGGCCAGTCCAGTAACCTTAGCTAGAGTTTTGGTCCTTGGCGAGTTTTCTACGAAAGGCCTGATATATTTCTATTTTAATGTCAGTGCTGTCGATAGGTGACAATTGTTTCATAAGAGGAAGAAGACTTAACAGGAATAGGCGATCTGGGTCAGATTCATTTTCATTTTTACAAACTGCTTGTTCTCGCAACTTTTACAACTCCCCCACGATTTGCCCTTCTACATCACTTGGAAGGTCGCAGCGACGTCTTTTGTTGGCATTATGCTTCTTTGCTGTAGCTGATGGCTGCTTGATAACAGGTGTAGACTTACTCGTACTTCCCCCTTCACAGACGTCAACAATGGTTGCTGTTTGTACAGAACGCACACTGTTAGGTGCATCCGTGATATTAGTAGTTGATGAAGTATCATCAGGTGCAGCATCATCCATATCACATTCAGAATTTATGTTCTCATTAGGGGGTTGTGGTACATTACATGATGTGGCTCGTGGTGTCACATAGGGTATGAGGAATTCCATAGCATCATAGAATACCCATTTCTTGGCTTTGATGCTAGCTGATCCAGATGTATGAGTAGTAAATTTCCTCTTTTCTCTCATAAAGTTGCTCCTTAATTGATGCCATTTATCCTTGCAATCGGATTCTGTGGAAAAAATAATAATGGTGACTAGAAGGATGATCATAATAGTAGTAAGTATTATTTTAATGGCAACAGCAGTGATGAAAAAAGAACATGGAAACAGAAGGCCTATTCATAGAGGGTTTCTCTCTCTCTCTATTCCAGACATGTTGCTATCGGAGAGTTTTGCTTACCTTGGGTTCCAGTTCCGCACTGGGAAGACTACAGTGCATAGCATTGTCAAGGAAACAAGTAATGCCGTATGGGAGGTATTACAGCCACAGTATATGCCAGTACCTGATCATCAACAGTGGAGAGATAGCAAGAGCATTTTTCGATAAATGCAATGTTCCAAACTGTATCGGAAGTGTGGATGGCAAGTATTGTCGGCTGAAATGCCCACCTAATGCAAGCTCACTTTTCCATAATTACAAACAGTATCACTCTAATGTATTAATGGCTATTGCTGATGCCAAGTGTTGTTTTACTCTGATTGATGTTGGGGCATATGGGCGAAACAGTGACAGTGCAGTCTTCAGTAACTCTAATATAGGTAGGTCATTTCTCTCTAGATACCCCACAGCCTAGTGAACTACCTACTACTGATATCAAAATACCATTCCATCTCATAGGAGATGAAGCTTTCCCTTTAAAGCCCAATATAATGAGGCCATATCCTCGAAAGGACCTAGATTACTCTAGAAAGGTATTCAACTATAAGATGAGTAGAGCTAGGAGAACTGTAGAATGTGCTTTCGGAATGCTAACTCAGAAATTTGGTATACTGAAAACATCAATGGAAACAAGCACTGAGGTATCTGAAGC